CAGTGACATTACAATAAGCTAAGTCCGCCAAAGCGACACGTCATCACAACTTCTACAGCTTCAACTAACTGTCCAAGACTGGTTTAGCCGTAAGTCTTCATGATTTTGGTTCTTCATTACCTCCTGCATTCCTTAGGTCCCAACTATCCGCGGAGACCTCAAGTCTTCTCTGCCAAGTTGGTGATTTCCATGAGATGCTCTCTAAACCTCTTGATTAATTGCCTTCTTCAAGGCCTAGTTCCTGCAGGACGTCCTTGCTCAGCGCTGTGGTACTAACTGTGTGCCTCTCTTGACTGCAGTTTGAACTTGTAGCACGTCCTACTGATACATCATAGGATATTCGTTAGTAAATTCAATAGAAATATAGCCTAATAAAAGTTTACTTCAATAGTGAATTTGCTTTTAAAACAAGGTGCTTTGTGAAACGATCAGTCAATTATGCCAAGCATCCCGTAGGTTGTGATAACATCAAGTCTCCTAAGACCCTGTGGCACCTACAGACAACACTCACGTGGACTCTGACCCACCTGGGCAATCTACCAGGGAAGACTGGAGACAGGACCGGGATGGGAGACCAGGACAGAGGCGACAAAAGGCTAAAATCAACAAAGACCCCCACAGGAGACCTTCGAGCACTCATAATTACAAAGATAGCCAATTCCAGGAAATAAGATGACTATGTAAAAGAATTCTGGGGACTCATTGACATGGAACTGAATATGCATGTTTTGGGTGTCTATTAGCTGGGGTGTTTCACTGTCTCGTGGGAGCACTCACGGTGGAGAGTCCCCAGCGCTGCGATACAGGGCCTGCTCAGTAACAGCTTGTGTGTTGTTATTGGGTCTTGATCTCAGAATCCTCACACAGCCTCGCACTTCGGTGAGGCGTGTTAGAAAGCAAGGGGGTTCGGAAGCTCCGAAATGTTTGTGTCACCGCACGGAACAACCGCACCACTGTCAGTCCGGGAGTTACCCCCCAGCAGCACCGAGCCCTCTGCATTCGGGGCGTTCAAACTGGAGTTCTGAGGAAAGCCTGACTGGGAACGGCTTCGCCATCTCCCCCCGACCCCGTTCCTCTGTGTGTATTTCCCCCTCGTTGTCCTTCCTCCCCGCACACCGCGGGTACCGGGGGG